GATGGCAGCACCAGCTGCACCAGTACCAGCTCCACCAGCACTGCCACCAGCTCCACTGGTAGCTCCAACAGAACTTGTACCAGCAGCTCTACCAGTGCCTCCAGCACCAGCCCACTGGCACAGCACTGGCAGCACCACCAGGTACTGTGTGTGCAGGGCCTGTGCCAGAACACCTCTCCTTCTATGCGCTGACGTCATAAAGGGCTCCGTGGGGGCTGGGAGGGGCCCGTTGCTCAGGACCTCTCTCTGTGTGTGTACAGGCCCCGTTGCCAAGGAAACAGCCCATGGTGCACACGTCCAGGGGCACAGGGTTGCCCAAAGCCACCTCTCCAAGGTTCCCACCTCCCTGTGGACCCCTGTCCTCCTCTTGCCTGCAAGGCTCGCCTGCCTGGGAGACTGACGGGCTCGGCCAAGCAGGCTCTCGCCAGCAAGGCTCCCTGCAAGCACAAGAGGCGGCGGCTGGACACGCCCAGGTCCCTTTTTGTGCTTCCTGGGTTCTCAGCCTGAGTTTTGGAACACCCTGGACCCATTTCGGTGCCTCTCTCTGCATCCCTGGAGCCGTGGCTGTCGCTTTAAGGGCACCCCAAGTCCCCGGGCTCCATTTCAGGACGCCCCTACACCTCGCTTTGCTTTCTGGTGTGCCCAGTCCCCCTGCACGTGCCTTTCGATGCACCCTGGACCTGTGGCTGCGCCAACTGGGTCTCCCCGCACCCCTCAATGCGCCTTTCATGCACCCAAAACCCCTTGGTGTGCCCTTGGTGCACCCTGGAGCCCTCGGTTTGTCTGTCAGAGGCGCCTTTGGCGACATCTCCAGGTCCCTCGGTGGGCTGCCTCCTGCACCCCCGGTTGCAGTCAAGGTGACAAATTAATCTGCTACGAGATGAATCCCCTTGAGATGGAGCTGGTCCTCAAAGATTAGAGGAGCTGGGGGTGGCTGGACTTATCTCTTCAGAGCTAGGCCAGTTACTGCCAGAGAGGGCCATCCCGGACAGGGGAGGAGGGGGAGGTTTCCCCTCTGGTTTAACACCTGCTGGTTCTTGTATGGGGAGGATTTTAGGTGCTCCCTTCTCTACCTTACGGGTATGACAGTAGGGATGTCTTTGTGCAGCCCCTGGCCCTCGGCAGCCCCTTTGGCACACCCTGGACCACGGGCCTTTTGGCCGCTTGCTGGCTGAGCCTCTTGCAATGTCCTTACTGATTCCATCTGCCGTCTTTTTGGGGCATCCTGAAGCCCTCGCCGTGCTACTTGAGGGTCCCTGGACTCCTTCCTGCACCCAGCTCACCACGCTGTGCTGTTGGGGACAGGCCAGACCGCTCCATGGGGCACACACAACCCCCTGCATGTGCCCTTCCGTGCACCCCAAGACATTCTGGGGGCTCTGGGGGGATCCTCCCATCACAGAACGGTTTGGAATGGACTTTTAAAGGTCACTTAATCCAAGGACTCTGCAATGAGCTGGGACATCTTCACCTCAATCAGGTTGCTCAGAGCCCCGTCCAGCCTGACCTTGACTGTTTCCAGGGACGGGGCATCCACGGCCTCTCTGGGCAACCTGGGCCAGTGTTTCACTACCCTCCTCATAAAGAATTTCTTCCTTCTGTCTAGTCTGAATCCACCCTCCTTTCGTTTAAAACCTTTACTGCTTGACCAGTTGCTACAGGCCCTGCTAAAATGTATGTCCCCGTCTTTCTTATAAGCCCCCATAAGTACTGAAAGGCTGCAATAAGTTCTCCCCGGAGCCGCCTCCAGGTGCTTACAGCCCATGTCAGAGTATTACTGATTTTATTATCAACTTAAATTAGTGTTTGATTTTAATATAAGTATAAATATAATTAAGGGATATTTTAGTAAAAATAATTTTACAATTATTGTGTTTTGAATCTAGCAACCGACTGCTACTCTAAAATCCCTGTATAGCCCCGTACCAAAGCTGAAGTGACTGGTCATAATTGTTTAGTAGGAACGGTTAGAACCTAGGTAACAAAACATGAGGTGATTTGTAAACTGATTTATAATACATACATAGGACTAGAAGAATGCAAGTAGTTGTCAAGGTCCAGGATTAATGGGAACTGAGGGCAGTAACAGTAACAGCTTGCAGGTACCTGCCAAGAAAACCGTGTCCTTATGCAAAAGGTAATTCCGGCAGGGTGAGATCGCGTCCACCGACTCATGGACCACCTACTCACATTACACCCCAGACCCATTTCTAGACATTTTTATCCTTTACTGTGCAGAATCGGAAGTAGGAGGAGAATATGTTAATGATTTCTTAGAAGTTTTATGCTTATGTATGAAGACTTAATGAATATGTATGAGTGAGTTCTATTGAAGATGTGTGATTCTGGTGCCTGGCACGTGTTGTTGGTGAGAGCACTCCCCTACACGTCCGGCCATCAATAAAGAAGTGTCTGCTTATCTGCATCAAATTGGTGTCAATAAGTTATTTTTATCCCCGATTTCGGTGACAAGAGCTGTCGCCACCCACCCACTGACGTCTACCAACAACACCCAAAGAGCTGCAGACAACCAACACAGACAACTTCCAAGCCACCCACGTGTGCTGCTGCTCAGGCTTCCAAGCAGGTAAAATAGAAAGGATGCTACAGGATCAGGACTGTGTCGCTCAACACATTAACTCATGAGGAGCCTTCTGGCCAGGAGCTACAGAGCAGGTCTTTTAGACCTTGTATCCAGTGCTGGAGATTCCTGTTGTCTGGCAAATCATTTATACGCTTCGGAAAAGGGCACAGAGAAAGTACCAAAAGCTTTTTGGTCTTAAAATGTCCCTATTTTATACTCACCATAGAGAGCAGCCCAGGAGCAGAGTGTTTCAGTTTGAAGTTTTCATCCGCAAAAGGACCCCTGTATATACTGGCTACTCCAGTGCCGTCGCCCTGCGCGAGAGAGGTGCCCACTCAGCCACAGCAACTGCTACAGAACAGCTCCATTTAAAAATTAAATTTAAAATGCCCAAGCCAAAGGACAGGGTTAAACCCAGCCCAAATTGGGTGCTGTCCTGCCACCTGCACACACCAGCAGTGAACAAGTTCAGTGTTTCATTTCTGAAGAGGATCAGCGAGTGGATTCTAACTCCACAGCACATCCTTTGCCATCCACGTGTTGGCAGAAACCCACGGAGGTGCTAAGGATCAGGTTCAAGCCTCCCAGAGAGAGACAGAGGCTACAGATGGCTTGGGATGGACCCACCTGGTCTCGGCAGGGAAAGGGGAGGGGACATCAAAGTAGGGGCTGGTGAGAAAAGGGAAGTGGTTGCCTGGAAAAAGTTGGTTGCTGCTTCCTTATTTCACCTTATTTTCTGTGATTTTACAGGAAACAGGGAAGTGATCTCGCTGTTCATCAAGGACAGTTTCTGAAAGATGGAGCTTCTACCTTTTGCTGTACTTTCTACCAAGTCGAGACATCCTGTACTTAACTACAAGCCCCAGCACTCAGACCTCAAGA